GTCTCTTTAGCCTCTTTTCATATGGGACCTGTTCCCAACCCCTGATCATTGTAGTTGCCCTCCCCTTTCCCAGCCTCTCTCTTCCCCTCTCTCACCTCCTTTTCCCAGTCTCCCCCAGTTTTGTTCAATAAAGACAGATTCCATTTTGGAAGACACGTTATCTTTATTTTGTACATCAAGAAAAGGGGCTAGGGAAGGGTAAGTGGAAGAAGGTGAGGGAGAAATGGGGCACGAGCCCCCGATGGGGAGGACTGGGCTGGCTCTGCGGGCTTCTGGGGGTGGAAACTCTCCTGCAGCCCCCCAGTTGCCTCCTTTCCCCAGATGGCAGCCTGTGGCAAGTGCAGCCAGGATGATGGCCGAGTGCTGTGATGTGCCCAGTGTGGGTAGTCCGGGCACTCCAAGCCAGGACTGCTTTGCAAGTGGGGCACCCCTGAGAACTGTCTGTCCGGGGTGGGGGTCGGGACCCTTTAAGCACAGCCCTCGGCTAGCCTGAGACAGCATCTCCACGCTCTAAGTCCTCCTCTGATGCCCTGCCGGCACTGCTTCCGGCCATTCTTAAGCCCGGTTCAGGGTCCACTTAATGTGGACATGCTAGTTCGAATTAGCAAAACGCTAATTTGCACTAGTTTTTTAGTCTGGATCCGTTAGTTCGAATTAGCTTAGTTCGAATTAACTAATTCAAACTAAGTTAGTTCGAATTAACGTTGTAGTGTAGACATACCCTAAGATACAAGTCCAGAGCCAACTTCCAACAGGGCATTGCCACGTGTGCACCTGTGTATTCCTAATCAGCTGTTGTTCACCTTGCCAAGAGTTCTTGCAGATAGAGAACAGTGAGCTGTATGGTAATATTTCAATCAGACGTCACACTAGGCTGGGGGCAGGGAACTAGTGGGAAGGTTTGGGGGAGTGGGTTCACAGGCAGAGAACAGCCAGGCAGGTGAATCTGGGGAGCAGGACCTTGGGCATGGGGTAATCACGCCAGATGGGATCTGGAGGGCAGTATCCATAGGCAGGAAACAGCCAGGCTGAGGGGTCCTAGATGAATCTGGGCGGCGGGGGTTCAGGCAGGAGCAGCCAGGCTAGGGGAGATCCTAACAGAGGCAGTCTGAAGGATGTGGATCTTGGGAGGCCCAGTCAGCTCTCGGGGTCTCAGCCTGACTCTCTCCCTAGGGGCTGGAGGAGGACCTAGGCTATGTGGTGGGTGACTGCCTGCTGGCTGCTGCCTTCCTGTCCTACATGGGGCCCTTCCTGTCTGGCTACCGCGACGAGATGGTTTCACAGATCTGGATGAAGCAGGTGTGTGAAAGCTGCCTGGGTGGGGGAAAGGCCCTGGACACAGTCACCAAGTTTTCCCCCTTAGGCCCCGGGAGCTCAGGTTAGCCTGGTGATTCAATGCTCTGTGCCTACAGATCCGGGAGCTGCAAGTTCCGTGTTCACCCAGGTTCACCTTTGACAGCTTCCTTTGCAACCCCACCATTGTGCGCAACTGGAACCTGCAGGGACTGCCCTCCGACGCCTTCTCCACTGAGAACGGGCTCATTGTCACGCGGGGCAACCGGTGAGCAGATCTAGCTGGCTATGCACCCCCTGGGCTGGCCTGCCAACCGTGCTCCGGGAGCTGCAAGTTCCGTGTTCACCCAGGTTCACCTTTGACAGCTTCCTTTGCAACCCCACCATTGTGCGCAACTGGAACCTGCAGGGACTGCCCTCCGACGCCTTCTCCACTGAGAACGGGCTCATTGTCACGCGGGGCAACCGGTGAGCAGATCTAGCTGGCTATGCACCCCCTGGGCTGGCCTGCCAACCGTGCTCTGCCAGCCACGCCTTGCCAGCCTGGTGTGCCCACAGAGCAAATCCAGGACAGCCTGCCTGCCATGCTTTGCCAGTAGGGTCTGCCTGCTGCACAAATCCAGCTTGCCAGCTTGCTGAGTACTGCCGCCTGCTGTGCAAAACTGGCCCAGCCTGCCCAACAGGCTCTGCTTACCAGGCCTGCTCACTAGGCCTGCCTGCTGAGCCCTGCCAGCCGGGTCTGGCCACTGTGCAAGTCCCAGTCCAGCTTGTCCCCACATGCTGCTATCTGGGTCTATCCATCCTGCCCTTCCACCCCAGCCTGCCTACCACGCTCTGCTGACTTGGTCTCCCTGCCAGGCCCTGTAGCCTGGTCTACTCAGTGGGTGGGCATGGACCAATAAAATCTGTCAGTCCAGTGACCGCAGCCACATGCATCAAACCCTGCCTGCCCCATACAGTGATGCTGCAGCACTGTGCTGACAAGAACACAGGTTAGACCCTGGATCTCCTGCATGCACACCGCATTGCTTCAGACCCATCTGCCACACAGTTCCTGGCCCCACCCACTGCTCTGCCCTGGCCCAGACAAAGGATCCCGATGCACTTCGCAGGCAGTGGTTAATTGTCATTTCTTCTTCAAGAGATGTCCCTTGTAGGTGCTCCATCTGTTGGTGTGCCCCGTGCTGTTGATCGGCGTCTTTAGAGCAGTGTCCTCGGGACTGCACATCCTCAGTGCACTGGTACCACACTTGCACAGCCCCTTCCCCCCAGTTCCTTTTCTACCTTCCCCAGCCAGAGACAGAGCTCTGTTGCACTCCTCAGTCAACTTGGTTCTTTGTTTATTCTCTAGATAGATAAGTAGTTCAGTGTTTTCTTCTTAGATAGCTTTAGGTAGTTAGTAGTTTTCCCCTTTTCTCCTTAAAAAAAAGTTTTCTTTTTTCCCCTTTTTTGTCTTATAGATAGATAGGATGCCAGATTAATCAGGCTTTAAACACTGTACTTCCTTCAACGACACTATCCCCATCTCTGGGGGGATTCTCTGCATTCATTGTCTGGAGGAATCCCATATCCCCCAAAAGTGTTCCCATTGCTCAAAACTCAAAGCTCAAGCTCATTGGGACAGAGACCTTTGTCTCAAGCTTATGTTGTTTGAGAAATCATTACACCCTGCCTTACATCCAGGGCCCAAATCTGAAACCTCCCCAGACCACCATGGAGAGAAATCCCGCCAAAAAGCACTCCTCGTTGGTGATGCAGAATACCCTACCACAGAAACGGCACTCTCCAACCATTTCAGTGCTAAAGTCACCTACTGTGCCATGTCTCAGCACATATGACATACTGGGCATCTCAAGTACCTTCTGCACCATGACTAAATCCAGTGTGCGCAGACCTCACTGCATTCGGCACTGTCTGGCACCAATGCTGCTGCACCAAAGCACAGATACCACCTTCGACACCCACTGCTCCAGCCACACCCATCACCAGCACTGTGGACTCGCTGCCAGTCTCCCTAACCTGATCTATGTACACAAATACAAAATTCCTTTGATGCAGCCTACCATGGCACCATCTTCTCAAGCACTGCAATATACTCCCCATAGAGACCTCTTAGTCTCTTCAACTTTTAATTCTCCTTTTCTCAACACCAACTTTTCACCAGGCACTCTGGCACCACACCATTCTCTCTCCCAGCTCAGTTCTCTAGTGAGGACAATGATGATGATGTGGAGGTAGTTTTCTCCCTTTAGAACTCTCCCTTCCCTGAACACTTCATTTACTCCACATGGTACCTCAGTGTATCTCTGCTCAAGAGTTAGAATGCTTGGAATCTGTCTGGTGAGTTCTACTTCATAGCAGAGCTCAGAACACTCGCAAAACATATGCACAAAACTGGAAAAGATTCTCTCTGGTGCTCTGACAAATGAGTTCCTCCAATTATGACACCCCTCTCTACGATCCTTGAGTACTTATTACATCTCAAACAAGCAGACCTCACCCTCAGCTCCATTAAAGTACATCTTGTTGCCATAACTATGTTTCATCTGAAGATAGATAATACATCAATATTTGCATATCCAGTCACTAAGAGATTTGCTTGAAAGGTCTCCAAGCACTTTACCCAGGTATCAGACCTCCACTTGAATCCTGGGATAGTCACTTAGTTTTAAATGCTCTCACACACCCACCCTTTTAACTGATAGCGACTTCCTCGCTCTTCCTCGCTCTTACACAACATTCCTTGTTACCATCACATCAATTAGACGAATGGGAGAAATTGTTGCACTCCTGGTGGACCTTCCATACATAATCTTCTTCAAAGACAGTGACTCTCTGCACCCACCCAAAATTCCTACCTAAGATGCATTTTTCCTTCCACTTGAACCAAACCATACACCTTCCTACATTTTTCCCCAAGCCTCATGCCAACTTATTTAAGTCAACAATGCACACACTGGACATACACAAAGCATTCTTATACATTGGACAAAATCATTTAGGTCCTCCTAACAGCTTCTAACAGAGGTGGAATATCTGTGATTTAAATCAAGGATCTGGGATATATCCTGTGTTAGAATGGGTAGGAGTCCTTTTTTCCAAGCTTCAGTTCAAGCAAAGATCCTCCAGAGATAAGAAGCCATATTGAAGACCAATTTGAGGCATTTTCAGGTCCTTTTATATCCTCAGCCGTGTGGAGGAGTTCCCATTCTTTTCTGAGGAAAAATACAGCTAAAAAATAGAGTTTCTTATATTGGTGAATCAGCTGTTCATGCACAACTCAGTTCTTTGCAGGCATGGCCCACATTCCAAATTGAAGCTTGCAAAAAGTCCATTCAGTGTAGTTAGGTATCTCCCATGCTCCATTGTTTATTGAATGTTTCTTGATGGGCCACTCAACCTGAATAGCCTTTTCCAGACACACTGGCCAGCTATTTTGGGCATTACTTCAGGAGCTGACATGTCAAATAAAGACACACAACTAATGTTCTGATCTTCAAGTACAGAAATAATATATGCACACAAACAATGTAACAGTAACCAGCAAGCCTTAAGCTTTCCATAGACACCTCTGTTGGTTCACTTTGTACAAGATTTGGGGCAAACCTATAACAGTGGTTGCAATAATGATCTGTAAAGACAAATCACAATCCAATAATGTCACGCTCTCACCCTAGTTGTTTTCCAAATGCATGGCGGGCAGAGGGGTGAACACTGGGTGCTGGTTGATACATGGAAGCTAGGGGAGATCCCAGCATGTGGCTGTACATCCTGTTGAACTGCTCTGTCCTTGTTGCCAGGTGGCCACTGATGATTGACCCACAGTGCCAGGCCTCCAAGTGGATCAAAAACATGGAGGCTGCTAAGGTGAGCAGCAGTTCCAGTGGGAGACAGGGCTGGGGTTCCCTTGCCTGGGAGGACGGCTGATCAAAGCCACAGTCCCTGTTAGGTCCCACCCCTTTATCACTAGCTGTGCCACCAGGTGCTCTTTCATTTGTTCTCTGCACTCACTCCTGGGTCTGGCTGCCATCCTGGCTCCCAGGTGCTAGCAGTTCATAAGGGCTGAGGAGCTCCAATGCATTGCTGGCTGCTCACCCCGCTCCTGGCACCCCCAACAGGGTCTGAAGATCATTGACCTGCAGATGAGTGACTACCTGCGGGTACTGGAGCACGCCGTGCAGTTTGGCTCGCCTGTGCTGCTGCAGAACGTGCAAGAGGAGCTGGACCCCTCGCTTGCCCCTATCCTCAACAAGTCTGTTACTAGAGTGGGTGAGGCCAGGCCCTCTGCTGCGGAGAGAGCAGGGATTGGGAGCCAGGACACCGGGATTCCCTCCCTGGCTCTAGCGGTATTTGCAGGAGCTGGTGGGTTAGAGCAGTGGGGCTGGGAGCCAGGACTCTTGGGTTTTCTCCTGGGCTCTTTGGCTTGGGGAGGGGGGAGCTTGTGGGTGAGAACAAGGGGGCTGGGAGCCAGTACTCCTGTATTCTCTCTCTGGCACTGGGAGGTTAATTGGGTGCAGTGGTTAGGGAGCTGACCTGCTCAAACCCCAGGCAGGACCCAGTGGCATTTGGGGGGACCTGACTGCCCTGTGTGCATGACAGGTGGTCGCCTGCTCCTGCGGCTGGGGGAGAAGGAGGTGGAATACAGCCCCGACTTCCGTTTCTACTTGACCACTAAGCTGTCGAACCCCCACTATACCCCAGAGACCTCCTCCCAGACCACCATCGTCAACTTCGCTGTCAAGGAGCAGGTGCAACTGGGCCTTTTGTGGCAGGGGGTTATTGGGGAGCAATGAGAGAAAGGAGCTAGGGGTGGTGGGAGAGAAGGGTGTTGGAGGACAGGGATGGGCAAGCCCTAACTTGATGGCTCTGCAGGGCTTGGAGGCCCAGCTGCTGGGCATCGTGGTGCGGAAGGAGCGTCCTGAGCTGGAGGAGCAGAAGGACTCGCTAGTCCTCAACATCGCTGCCGGCAAGAGCAAGCTGAAGGAGCTAGAGGATGAAATTCTAAGGTGGGACCAGGGTGGCCAGTTACACAGGGAGCCCTCACCCATTGATGAAATGCAGCCATCGTTGGGGTAGGGCTGCTGGTTATATGGGGGACACCTCACCCCACACTGAGATACAGCCACCTCTAAGGCAGGGCAGTTGGTCATTCCCTGCCCCTCCCCAAGCCAGCAATTTCTGCTCTAAGACTGCATGGGAGCTAATACCCCATAAGGGACAGTCCTGCATCCCATTCCCCACCCCCCTGAGCCAGCCAGCCAGTCTCCAGCCTGGGGCTGGGTGTCACTGAAGGGTGGAGGAGTCACAGGCCCCTTGCACCCCTATCCGCAATTAGCTGTGACTTTCAGCCAGCCGGTAGAACAGGTGGTTTATTAGTAAAGAGGGACAGCACAGGAACCAGAAGCAGTCAGTATAATCCATCTTGAGGAGAGGGGGCCCACAGCCTCTCCTTGCACCCCAAGCCAGCTAAGACTGATCCACTCCCAGCAGCCTGGTCCCAGTTCGTCCTCCCCCAATCCAGGCCTCTCCTCCCACCTTTGTCCTGCTTCCCAGGCATAAGGTGTCACCTGGTCACTCCCCTCCTGGGCTCAGGCTGCAAAGGCCCTCAGCCATTGTGTACAGCAAGAGGTTCCCAAACTGCAGTTCCCATCACCATCTAGGTATTGGTGCAGTATTCAGGGAAATACAGGCACGCACATGGGGTTACTACAGGACAGTAGAAATCTTATGCAACATAACAAGGGAAATAAAATCCCCACTTCATCACATCAGGTGGGAGTTGGTACCCTGCCAAGGGGACAGGCCCCATTCCCCATCTCCTGAACCAGCCAGTTCCTGCCCTGGGGCAAGGATGGGAGCCTGCACCCCCTAAAGAGGACAGACTGTGCTCTGTTCTCTGTCTCTTATTCAGCCAGTCCCTGCCTGGGGCAAGTTGGGAGCCAGCACCCCCTCAATGGGAAGTTCTGGCTGGCAGGAGTTGACCCTTCCATGAGAGCTGCTTGCTCTTGGCCATGCGGCACTCAAGGGCTGGCCTGTCCCTTGCCCCCATAGGCTGCTGAACGAAGCCACTGGCTCACTGCTAGATGATGTGCAGCTGGTGAACACACTGCAGACCTCTAAGGTCACAGCAAGTGAGGTGACAGAGCAGCTGGAGACCAGTGAGACCACGGAGATCAAGATTGACACTGCCCGGGAGGTGAGGAGGCAGGACCCTGGTGCGGGCAGGGGGGTTCTGTCTGGGAACTTCCACACCCTATGGTGTGTCTCTGCTGCTCTGTGTCCCTTGCCCATCTGCCCCTTGTTCTTTGGTCTGGCTTGCTGGCAGTGCCAAGCTGTGCCCAGAGAAGGGGGCCCTGCTGCGCAGCTCACCAGGCCCAGTGCTGGATAGAGGCTGGCTCAGCAGAGACCCATGGCTGACCTGTGCCACTGTCCCAGCTTGTGGGGCTGCAGTGGGGACGCTCTGAGCTCCAGGCCCCTCCCAGCACATAAGGGCTGCCCTGTAGTTATCCAGCCCTGACTCAGGCCAGCTGCAGATGTCCAGATGCAGCATGGGCACCTCCTTGGAGTGCCGCACAGGTTGACGGGTGCTGTACCCCCACCAAGGCCTACAGGCCCTGCGCCCAGAGAGCCTCCATTCTCTTCTTCGTCCTCAACGACATGGGCCGCATCGACCCCATGTACCAGTTCTCCCTGGATGCCTACATTGATCTCTTCAACTTGAGCATCCAGAAAAGCCACCGGAGCTCCAAGCTAGAGGAGAGGATCCGCTACCTGAATGAGTACCACACCTATGCCGTCTACAGGTACAGGGGTTCCTCTTCCTATTCCATGTACAAGTATGGGAGTTCCCTTCCTACTGCAGGTACAGGGGTTCACAATCCTACGCTGTGTACAGGTTTCCTACCTGTTACAATTACCGGGATCCCCCTTCGTATGCTGGGCATGGGGTTTCCATGGGTACCAGAGCACCGGGATCCCTTCCTATGTCCTGGGGCGTGGAGATCCCATTACCATACCCCACCCAGTGTGAGGGGGAAAGGAGAATGGTGCCTGGCCCTGTAGACCGTGTGTGGATTCTGCACTGTGCATCCCAGAGGTAGCAGAGAGAAGGGGAGAATGTGCCGTCTGGTGCAAGCCTTGGGAAATGCACATGGGAGGGAAGAAGGGATCCTGCTGCACCACTGGGTTAGCGCCTCTGCTCCCTCCCTAGATACACCTGCCGTGGCCTCTTTGAGCACCACAAGCTGCTCTTTAGTTTCCAAATGTGCGCCAAGATCCTCGAGACGTCAGGCAACCTCAAGATGGATGAGTACAACTTCTTCCTGCGGGGGGGCCTGGTGAGTGCAGGCAGGGTGCTCATTGGATGGGGGGGAGGCAATGCTGCCTAGGCTGGCCATCAACCTGCCTCCCACTCAGGATGTGTTCTTCTCCTTCCTGGAGGCCTCCTTTCCTCCCCGTTGGGGAACAGGACTGGAGCCCCCTCTGCTGTCTATGGATTCACCCTGAAATGCAGCTACTTCTGGGGTGGGCAGGACAACTATTAGCCCAAAGAATGGCTGCTGCCTGTGAAAGGAGGGCTGAACCCAATACCCAAGGGTGGCACTAGGGGGCGTTGTGTAGCAGGGAGGGGTCAGGTTTTCAGCAGGGGGTTCTTTCCCATGATAAGCAGGGCTGGCCTCAGGGTGACGTTAGGAGCGGCTGTGGGATAGGGAGTGGGGTAGGGGCTCAGAAGAGGTTGCTCTTCCCTGGCAGGCAGGTCTGGCTCCAGAGTGGTCCTTGGGGGTACTGTAGGGTAGGGAGGGTGTAGAGCAGGGGTGGGGAACCTCAAGCCTGAGGGCCAGATGTGGTCCCTGGCTTGCCTGGATCCAGCCTTCAAGACTGAGAGCCACCCCAGCATTGAGGAGCCCACGATGGCATTCTAGCCTCTTTGCTGTCCCACCGCAGGACTGGAGCACACAAAATTACTAGGCTGGGCCCCCCTGGCTCTGGTGGGGAGTGTCTTTCTCCAGAGTTGGGGGCCATGTCAGTGAGGGTTGGGGTTTTTTGCTTCTCACTTGTGTGTGGCCCCTGACTGATTTTTCTGTGAGTCAGCGGTCCCCGATCCAAAAAAGTTCCCCACCTCTGGTGTAGGGGCTCAGCAGGGGGCACTCTCCCCTGGCAGTCTGGGCTGGCCCCAAGATGGCAATAAGCCACTTAGGGATGTTTTAGAGCAGGAAGTGGGGCAGAGGCTCAGCAGGGGGCACTGTGCTGCTGGAGCGGCCATTGAACTGTGAGCTCTAGCCCAGCAGTGTTGCCCCTGTGGACAGTATCTTTACCAGGTGGGGCAAAAACCCCAGCGTCCTGGCCATTTTTGCCTCCTGAACCTCTGCCATTTGCCTACTGTCCCCTCCCCCTGCAGGCTTCCTGCCATCTGTCTGCCATGGCCCCTGATACCCTCCGCTGGACGGGGCCACGGGACCAGGTTCTGGGATCTCGGGAGATCTCTATTTCCAGCTGCCCCCGCCCTGTCACCTGAGCCAGCCCTGGTGCCCAGCCCACACCCTGCTGTGTGAACCCAGGTCCCTGAGGGAGCTTGCTGCTGTACCAAGGCTCCAACTGCTGGGTGCTGGTAGCTGGCTGCTTGCAGGCATGAGACCCACACCCACTCATACTCCATGGAGAGCCCTGCCCATCAGCAGTGTCTGGCAAGGCAGAGGGGTGCAGGGTGCTTCTTCTTTGGGTAGTGTCCCTGTGGGTGCGCCACTCTAGGTGTCGGGCTCATCCCGGCGCTGCAGGTCAAAGATTCATCAGCTGTGGTTCAGCTGGTCCGTGCATGCGCTGCCACGGCACATGCCCTTCGCGCCATTTCTGAGTCTGCATGCGGTCCGGCTCCTGCCAGTTTCTCCTAACTGTTCAGGGTCACAGGTGGAGTGAACTCCTTCCTCTCAGTCTGACTAGAGATATCTTTAAATCTGTAAATAATTAGTTCAAAGTTAGTCTTTAGTCATAGTTTTAGTTGTTACCTTACTGTTACTTTTATAGTTCGTTTAAAAAAAATTAAAATTAATTCTTGTTGTTTCTTCTAATTAGATAATATATCGTTATATCTAGTGTTAGATTCCAGTTTTTTGTTAAGTTAATTGAAATGCCGAGGTCTCCTGGTTTCAAAAAATGTGCCACATGCCGCAATGCAGTGCCGGCATCTGACGGACATGTGAGCTGTATTAAGTGCCTGAACGAGGGTCATATCTCTCAGAAATGCCCACACTCTTCAAAACTGACGGCACGTGCGAGATGCGACTGCAAAATGTGCTTATAAATGCTCCTGTTCAGTAAGGCACTACAGCCCACTGAGAGCAAACCCTCCAGATATCTGGCGCCCCCAGGAAGGACATCTGCAAACAATAAGTCACTCCCCCGCCACTCATCCTTTGCTCAGATAAGTGTGGGTGATAAGCTGGGGATATCTGGCTCAACCATCAGCTGCCATGCTCATAAGCAGAAGACGAACTGTAGTGTCTTAGAGCCGAGTCTACTCTTCATAGGGAATCGGCACCGGCATCGGCCACTGTCCCAAGAGCCAACTTAGCACCCGTGCCAACAAAGCAAAGCTCAAGGGCACTGGCCAGGTTGGCACTGATGTACCAGTTACAGCACCGACACCTGCAATACGACCAACACTGAGTCTGTCAGCACCGAGTGCTCAGGCACCGCCCACGGCACTGCCCACAAGCCCTACAGATACCTCTAGCTTGGCACTGAGTCCACTGGCATCGAGCCAAATGGCACCGAGCTGAACGGCACTGACTAAGGCGGCATTGGGCTCATGCGATGCACTAGCACCATCCCCCACACATTCGGTTCCTGCATCGGTACAAGAAGTATCTCATAAGCGTAGATGATCCTCCCCGGTATCACGGAAAACTACGCATAAGTCACGAAGGATAATGACGCCTTCTCCTAGCCCAGAACCATCTGTCTTCTCACCTCAGCCTTCATCCCCAGCTTCGGTGGTCTCGGTACTATCACAACATGACAGTCGCGCCAGCCACTATCAGAGGTGCTCAACGCAAAACTCACCCTCGCCACAGCGCCACCACCGACGTTCACAGTCTCCATCATATTACAGAGGAAGATCTCATTCACCTAGATCACACACGATCCTCTTGCTCTAAATATTACCATGTAACTGAGAGATGATACTCTCTTGAATACTCTCCAGCTCAGCACTACTACGATCGATATCACTGACACCGTCACTCCTACAATTACTCTCATTCCACGTCTCCGCAATACCATCGACGACGTTCACATAGCAGTGTCAGATTACCAACACTGCCTCAACCATCCACAAGACCACTAACTCCCTCAGGAGATACACCTGCTCCAGTATGCCAACCGGAGGCACCACAGACATCTACTTCAGAGCACACCCAATTTCAAGTGGAGTCTTCGACTGACCAGTCTTCCTCCTCCCTGGACGATGCAATCTTCCCTGGGGATTCTTCCCTGGTAGATGATATTAGGCAATTTCACGACCTCTTCAGAAGGGTAGCGGAGTCACATGAGGTACAACTGGGCGGAGTGCAACAGAAGCAACACCGGCTTCTGAAGAATCTTCAACCGTCACAGAAGAATAGAATGACATTGCCATTAGATGATACAATTCTGGAAATTGCAAATGACATTTGGCAGACACCAGCTTCCTCCCAAGCAACACATAAGAGGGTGGACAAGAAGTATTTTGTTCCTTCTAAAGGAATGGAATTTTTATTCACATACCCGCAACTGAGCTCGGTTGTCAACGCTACCCAACAAAGAGTTAAAACCCCACCGTTCAGAAATGCTTCCTCTTATAAAGATGCAAAATGTTTAGACCGCTTCGGAAGGAAGGTTTACTCGTCCACCGTGCTAACTTTGCGGATGGAAAATTATGCTGCCCTCCTCTCCAATCACCACTTTGATAATTACAAAAAGTTGATGACGCTTCTAGAACACCTGCCTGAGGACACACGTCAAATATTAAAATCAGTGGTTCAGGAGGGCTATACTGCCTCAAGGGCAGCTTTACAAATCTCCTTAGACATCGCTGACACAGCGGCTCGCACCACAGCGACATCAGTGGTAATGTGAAGATCCTCCTGGCTCCAGATGGTGTCAGTGCCTAAAGAACTACAGGCAAAAGTAGAAGACTTGCCATTTGACAGAGTCTGTTTGCTGAAAATACCGACCAAGTCCTACACTCAGACAAGGGCTCGAGGACGACTCTGAGGACTCTCGATGTGTATACACCACTATACTGCCGCAAACGCTATATGCTCTATTACAGGCAACGACCGTTTTCATATGCCACACCTAGATACAAGCAATATGAACCCCAACCATGGGAGAAACCTCACCAGCAGAAACGACGTCCACAGACGAGTAGGGCACCTAACCTTCACAACAACAAGCAGCCAGTTTGATGGTCTGATCGAGGGACTGTAGACCATTCCCCTAAAATCTCAACCAGAATTGCAAAAGCTTTTTCACCATCGTTTACAACTGTTTCAACAAAGGTGGTTCGCCATCACTACCGATCGTTGGGTCCGAGAGCTAATAACATCAGGCTACTCTATACCGCTTCTTTCTCTTCCCCGTACCTCTCCCCCACCCCCGTCCCTCATCAGGGACACATCTCACTAGGCTCTCCTAATGCAGGCGGCTCCTGCGTCTCATAAATATTGGGGCAGTGGAGAGAGTGCCCAAACAATTTCAGGGCAAAGGTTTTTATTCTCACTATTTTCTCACCGAGAAAAAATCAGGGGGCTAGAGACCGATTCTGGACCTTCAACCGCTCAATCGATATCTACGGAAACACAGGTTCAAGATGGTGACATTAGCTTCTATCATTCCAGCCATGAATATGGGAGATTGGTTTACATCCCTCAATTTACAGGATGCTTATTTCCATATAATGATACATCCTGCACGCAGACGCTTCCTCAGATTTGTCATAGGCACACAGCACTTCCAATATAGAATCCTTTCATTCAGCCTATCGGCCACACCCAGGCTCTTCTCCAAGACACTATCGGTAGTCGCCGCATATCTGCATCATCACGACATAATGATATTTCCATACTTGGACGATTGTCTAATGAAGGCACCCACTTACGACCAGGCATTAAGGGCCACCAACATCACAAGGGAGTTATTCGCAGCCCTAAGCCTCGTAATCAATACCCAGAAGTCCTCTTTCATGCCCCAAAGGTCCCTCAAGTTCATTGAGGCACGACTAGATTCTACAACAGCCATGGCCTATCTTCCTGTGGCCAGATTTCACAAGATACGAGACCTCATTCATACGATCTCTATCAGCCTCAGAGTCTTCATACTCACCTGCTTGCAACTCATGGGGCATATGGTGGCCACGACTTACATAGTACAACACGCGATGCCTAGAGCACTGGGTAGCTTCAATCTACCAGCCGGGCAACCAGGATGTTCACAGGCTAGTGACGGTGCCCCTAATCATGCAATGCTCCCTGGTATGGTAGACTTCCTCCACAAACATGCTTACAGGCATTCCCTTCCACTGTCTACAACTGACCATACAAATTATGACAGACTCTTTTGGGGTGGGGAGCTCATTGCGCAGGAGAACATGCGCAAGGATGGTGGACCGCGACAGAAGTCAACATATCAATCTTCTGGAGCTCAGGGCAGTATTCAATGCCTGCAAAGCATTCTTACCCACGATTTGTGGCCATACAATTCAAATCCTTACTGATAACACCACCACAGTTTACTATATCAACCGTCAAGGTGGAGCCAGGTCGAAATCCCTTTATGCAAAAGCCATACGGCTGTGGAACAGGTGTGTTCACCAAGGCATCAGCATCATTGGTACATACCTACCAGGCAAGGACAATACCATTGCCAGCATCCTCAGTAGGCATTTCTTTCCCCAGCACGAGTGGGAACTCAACCACGACGTAACACGCTTTCTCTTCCAACGATGGGGGCACCCCACTATAGATTTGTTCACAACACACGGATACTCAATGCGAAGTATCCGAAATACTGCTCCAGAGCAGGACTGGGACCAAAGTCCCTACCAGGCAAGGACAATACCATTGCCAGCATCCTCAGTAGGCATTTCTTTCCCCAGCACGAGTGGGAACTCAACCACGACGTAACACGCTTTCTCTTCCAACGATGGGGGCACCCCACTATAGATTTGTTCACAACACACGGATACTCAATGCGAAGTATCCGAAATACTGCTCCAGAGCAGGACTGGGACCAAAGTCCCTC